AATGAATGATATTCATATATTTATGTTCTTATCTACAATTATTATTATTACAATATATTATATATATATATATATAAGTGGAAATGATCAATTTTTTTCCCACTTATATATATATATATATATATATATATATATATATATATATATATATATATATATATATATATATATATATATATATATATTATATAGTGATTTAATTTAGAAAAAGGTAAGAAAATCCTAAAATGATTTGCATGGTGTTGTAGTTAATCATTAAAGTTAAGTTTGAAGGACAAGTCTCTGGCTATTGACTTAGGCTTTCGAGCTGTAGATTTTTTTAAAGGTTTTTAAAAGATTTTTGTTTTGTACTAAATATATTCTTTTGAAAGTTTTTAGATTTTCTTTTTGGTTAAAGTATTTTCAGGAAAGAAAATTATACAGCAAAAGCACATACATAGAAAGAAGTCAATAACTTATTTGTTTTTACAGATATTTCCTTTAATCTCAAAAAAATTCAGAAGAAAAAGAAAAGAAAAACTTACTCGTAGAGGGAACAGTCATTTCATAAGCAAGTCCCTCTTTGTTTCTCGTCAAGTTGGAAAATGCTTACCCTAGAATTTAATATTAGTATTAATAAAAATAAGTATGAATTTAAAAAGGTTTTGATATTTACAAATTTGTTTGAGAGTAATTAAACATCGATTTTAGTCTTTATGACAATAGGAGAAGGATTGAGCAAAGTCTTAACTGATTTACAACTCCTACATATTAGGACTTTATATATAGTTCGAATAAGGAACAATTTAATAAGAAAATTTGTCCTATATATTAGGAAAGCAACATAAATTATAATTTTATCCAATGTAAAATTTATTTTCAAAGGGTTAAAAAAGGCGAACGATATCTCGCTAAGGGGCTTCGTGTTTTTAATATAGATATAAATATATATAGATATCATCACTCATCAATTTTTCTTATGAGTTACATACGATCAACATCTCTATTCTCACATCTCTAAAAGATCGTTAGCAACAAAAAAAAAAAAAAAAACTCTAATCACAAAAAAAAATCCACTTTATTTTATTTGATAAATATTTAAAGAATCATGATAAAAATATTTTCGTGTTATTAGTTTGTATTTAATATAAAGTCATAAAAATAACAATAATTTTTATAAGATATTCTTGCAGAAGCTCTTATAACTTACACTTTTTTTCAAAAAATTTGATTTTATCACTCAAATATATTATTTAACTATTATTTAAAATTATACACTCATAGATATGACGTCGAATAAAAACCAACGTTCTTCCGTTTCTATCTTCTCAGAAGTTTGCTCATATGTAGCATGTTATTGATTCCTGCAAAAATAACAGTGAGTACTCAATTAGATAGCAAAACATGATACTTTAATAAAAAGAAACCAAATAAGTAAAATAGTTTCAGGATTCTTTTATTGAAAAAAGAAAGAAAAATCAAATGTTCCAATTTAAGTGAAGGATCGCAGTTAAAATTATTGTACATCATTTAAATAAGGAAAGGATTTATTAAGTCAATCTTACTTAATTTGTAATTCCTAAATATTAGGAGGGAAAAGATCTAATAGGACATTATTTTTAATTATTGGAAAGCCTTAAATATTATGAAAATTATCAAATGATTATTTTGTCTAGTGTGAAATTTATTTTTAGAGGGTATAAAAGGCGAACGACATTTCCTTAAGTTGTTTCGTGCTTTTAATATAGTACTAGTCTCTATGTACGTGCATTGCACGTATGTGTTTTTGTCAAATATTACAACAAAATGTGCCGAAAGTAATAAACAATTACACAAATATTCTAAAATCAATTGTTAATGTATATGACACAAAGTTCAATAATTAGTTCCTTAAAACTAAAAATAGAAGAATTCAACTTATAGTCAAAATAAAATAATTATTAAAATTTTGACACAATCATAAAGGACAATATGGAACTAAATATTTTTGAAGCACATAATTTGCGGTTAAAGTTGTAAAATCATGTTAAAAATGCAACAACACTTAATATCTTCTTTTGTAATGCAAAAATTTGCTTTAGTTAAACCGTATAGATTAAGGTATATGAAAATCATTTTTTTTAAGATTAAGATTTAGTAATGACAGTGAAAACAAAGATGAAAAGTTATTTAGTCATTTCTGCCTGCATTATTTTTTTATCATGAAAAAAAAAAGTAGATCATGAATAGTATCAGAAGCCAAGAGGTTATAGAATTAATATTCATAGCTATTGCATTATGTTTGTTCCGCCTTAGCAAACAAATTGAGAAAGTGACCAATCAAGTTTAAGGTGTGCTAATAAGTAAACCTACACCTCCGTCCAATAATTCTTTGCAAGAAAATATCAATTATATCTTAAAGGTTTAATATACTCCAATACACCTAATAATTTACCTTTCACGTACAATACCGTCTAACTCACCATAAACACTGTTCAGTGTCCTCCTAATCTTGACCTCCTGCATCCAGCTGCACGTCTCAAGGTGAGAATCTGCCTCTATAAAAAATTATAGGGACCTGTTCCTATTTCCCATTTAATAATAAACTCTAAATTAATCCATTTCTATTTGAATTAGGTCTCTTTTAGCAAAATATAGCAAATTTATAAATGAACTCAGAGTCCTAAATTTAGGGAAAAACTAAATATTATAATTCTTTTTCAAAATAGAATTTTTTTCCAAAAGAAGTGGTTAATGATTTGATCCAAAATCAACTTTTTATGCTCGATGTATATGTAATTTAAATCGAAAAAGAATTTTAATGTTAGGTTATTTACAATGATATCCTTAAATTGTACAAATACTTAAGGTTATAAAAGTCGAATAATATTTCAAGGTTATTTTAGTCGTTCAACATTTAGCATAAATTATTCGTGCTTTTATAATAACTAGTTTTAGGGTACGCGCTTTGCGCGTGTACCCCATATATGAATATATAATATTTAAAAAATCACATAAATAATATTTAAATAATATCTTTGGTTATAAAACAAAAAGTAAATTTTTTGAATGATGAATGTTGATCATTTAGCTAACACAAGAAAGAAAAAGATCTTTCTTTATAAAAATCCGTGGATGCTTTATTCTTATTTTTAAAGACCTCTTTGGAAATATCTTATGAAAGTTGTTATTATTTATGCGATATAATATTAAAAACAAGCAAGTGATGTATAAATATTGTTATCAAGATTCTTTAAAGATTTGTCAAATAAAACCTATTGAATTTTTTTTTTAATCTCTTTAGAGATTTGGAATGAAGAGGTTATCCTATTGCTCAAGGAAAATTGATAACTACGGTGTAAAATCTAAAAACGACTAACATTGAGTTAATATTTTACAAACAGATAACTTACAGATATATATAAAAAATAACCAGAGTTGTCATTTGTTGGATAAAAAAATAATAATTAATAGATTCACTTATAATAAAAAATATTATCTTTTATTGTCTTATCATTATTATTTCAAGTTGGCATTTTTACCAATTTGACTTTAAGTGTTATAATGTAATTAAATTTTCTCTATTGTCTAATTTTTTTTTTTTAGCGTCAATTTTCTCCTTTATGTAGCCTAAAGGGTCTTTTAATTCACAAACAATTGCAGCGGGATTATAATATGGAAATCAAGTAACAACAAAAATATTTATTAAATATACTTTCGATTAATAAATATTTGATTTATTGAATGAACAATAGAATGTATGGATTACAATATACAAAATGTGCTTGATTTTTCATTTATAAACTTGGATAAAATTTTATTTTTAACTTTAACCTTAGTCTTCTTAAAAGATTTTGGAATAGGCGCATTGGAGAAGGATATTTTGATATTTGATTATTTATCCTGGGATAGCTAATCCCACAAATTATTATCTCATATTGAATGTAGAATAAAATAGCAGCTAATTTAGATTGTGGTATAATTATTCTCGCAAGTTTTTATACCCAAAAAAAAAAAATTCACACGAAATTAAATAATTCCACATTCCTTAGTTATTTTTATCTAATTATTGGCTAATTTACGAAGTATTACCCAAAAATCGATAAAGAAAAAATACTTAATTATTATTTTAATATTTGAGTGTAATTTTAAATATTACGCTAAAAATCAATGAATAAAAAATATTATTTGAATATAAAGGGAGTTCAAGTATTATATGGAAGTGTATTGTCTATTATGTATCTATTTTTATTTATGGTATTATTCAATGCTAAAAGAAAGTCTATAAATTAAAAGTCAAATAATTTGTACTTTGATTTCAAAACACCATCGTTGTCGGGAACTAAAATTTTCATGGAAGACAATAAGCTTCGTAATCGAATTGTTTATTTCGTTGGAGAATCTTTTACATGTTTTCTTTTTCTTATTATAGTATTCTTGTTAAATCCTACATATTACGATTTTATACACAGTGCAAATAAGGAATAATTTAATAACTAAAATTTTAGTGATTTTTAATGTCTTATATATTAGGAAAGTAACTTAAATTAAAATTTTATCTAATGTGACATCTATTTTTAAAGGGTAAAAAAGGCGAATGATATTTCACTAAGGGCATTCGTGCTTTTAATATAGTATAGATATAGATAGATAATTTGGATTTACGGAGAATATATACACATTTCTTGCGTTAGGAAAACCTTAAGTATGAATTAGCGTGCCTGGTGGAATTTACCAAGTATTTTACATTCTATTTAGCGGTAAATACCAGTAGATGACAACATGGGGTGGTGGCGCAGTTGGCTAGCGCGTAGGTCTCATAGCTTCTGAGTTATCCTGAGGTCGAGAGTTCGAGCCTCTCCCACCCCACAACTTTTTTTCTTCATACTTCGTTAATTTCCATGAATTAATTAAAATACAACTTGTCGAAAATAAAAACAATGATCTTATTTGAGGAAGAAGTTTAATACGGTATAATTTTTTGCTTTTTCCATAAATTAATTAAAAACAACATTAAATTAATTAAAAACAACATTTCGAAATAAAAGAGAAAAACAACGTATCTTATTTGATTTGAGGAAGAAGTTTAATACAATATAATTCTTTTTCGCCCAACTTAATACTTTTCCATTGAGCAATAGTTCTTGTTACATTCCCATGGTTTCTAACCTTATTCTCTTTAGAAATCTTTAGTCAGTTATTAGCAACAATGCTCAATCAAGAAACTCTAGCGCTTGCAAACAACTCCACGTCCATAAATCCCACTGTTGCATCTCAAGCTAGGCAGCTCCAAATTCAACAAATCCTCATTCCAAGATTCTTCTGCTTGAAATTTAGCTACAGAGCAATCAGCTTCAAAAAGTCCTGAAGCTGCAAAGTCTTTGTCACCTCCCATTACCGGCATCAAAGCACCCATTTTAACTCTGCTCACGTAGTTCCTTCTATAAGTTTGGCCCAAAACACCACTCACTTCATCACTGAGTGACAAAAACTTGAATCCAAGCTCAAGATGAGCAAAGCAATCGTCTTGTGTTATGCCATAGTTATGAACTTTGGATTCTTTCTCTGTAATTGGCACCACCTTGGCTGTAATCTTGAAAATGTTTTCAACTTCGATCACGACTTCGTTGGTGCTGCTGGTTCGAGTAATGGAGGCTGTTGGTCCAGTTTCTGACTCCCACCTGTCGAGATATAAGATAATTTAGTAGCTGCTAAGTGTGAACAAAGCTAATTTCGCATGCTTGATTCATGAAAGGAAAACAGCCTCATGCGTAATATAATTAAATACTACCTTGCGCCTTCGTTGTCGGGAAGAACAATAGTTTCATCATCAAAGTTGAGGAAGAGGCGATCATTGGCATTATCCCATGTTGCTGTCTTAAGTGCCCCAACAGAAATCTTGTGAGTACCAAAAAGGATACCAATGGATTGAACCCAAGTAAAATCTCTCTTCATGTTCTCATTTCGTTTTCCTATGAAATGGGCATTGATGTGGAGGTTAGAATCTGAAACCAGGCAAAAATCTTTGTCCTTCTTGCCATGGAAATAGAAGGTAATTCCATCTGCTCCAATGAAACGTGGATCTTGGCAAACTGCTCCTGGAGTGTCACAACCTGTGTTTCCAATAAGTTAAAAAATCTTGTAATCGAATATTTAGCCTAGCCAAGAACAACAAATATATACTGAAAGAAGAGTTTAAGTTATGTGAACTAATAATGTAAAAAATTTGCATAATTAGGGCACTTGTAATACTTTCTACGTAAGCATTAACTAGTAACGTGAATAAATGATAACTAATAACTTGCTATGGTAAGTTAAATTACATTGATATGCAACGTTAATCAATAGAAAAATAGTTTAACTTCTATAATGCACTTAAAACGTTGTCGTCTAAAAAATAATTACAGATAAATGATCATAACAAGTGGAACTAATTACCTCAAAAATAAGAAAAACAACTTACTGCAACAGGTTAATTAGATTGATACTGTAAAAGATTATATTTACTTGTTTTTATAGGACGGTTTTGAAGGAGAAGGGCAAAGTTAGCGGAAATCGAACCCACACCTATTTACTTATACCAAATATTATTTATATTGTCAGCGGATATAATGGTTAAACCCGTATAAAAGATATAGTGTACTGTGAAAGTATATATGGAGTAGAGAAACTTACTGCAAACAGGTTTGCAAGAGACACAATCAACTTGACAAGTGCCAGGGCAAGTGGTAGGGCATGTATGTTGTTGATTATAACATTTTGGGTAACTCTTGTTCTTGCACTTAACCTTCTTTGGAGATGTAGTTGGACTCGGAGGGGTGTAGGGAGGTGGGGTTGGGGTAGTTGGAGGGGTGTGGGGAGGTGGGGTTGGGGTAGTTGGAGGGGTGTAGGGAGGTGGGGTTGGGCCATCAATGCAAATAGGTTTGCAAGATTGACACTCAGTTATGCAGCCATTAGGACAGAATTTGGGACAAACATGTGGTAGATTTTTGCATTGCTTAATTTCATCATCAGAGCAATGAGAATGGCTCGGATTGTTAGCAATTCCAGGTGGAGTAATTACCGGGCCACCGGGGGCAGCCGTTAAAGAACTTCCAGGAGCTGTGGCTGTAACCATTGATACGAGCATTAAGAAGAAGAAAATGGCAGATATTGATCGAGCCATTTTCTTTCTTTTGTTGAATATGAAGAGATATTTCGTAAAATATATGAAATACTTGGAGTTGTATGTGAGTTGATGGGATTTACATTAGGGACAACCGCTTTTTATAGGAGTACTTGAGAATGAGAAAAGTGAGCCTATTGTTTCGTGTCATAATTGCAATGTTTTTCTTTTAAATCTAATATTTCTTGATAAGTCATCTTGCACATGGTTTTTTTATTAAGTCAACATTTAATATTCTCTATCAATTTCTCTTGTAGTTTGTCGCTATTCGCATGAGCATACCGCGTCACTTGGCCGTAAAGCTGCCAAATTAATAATACCTTAAAGAAAGATAGAGTAATATATATGTATGTGAACCTAGCGAAATACTCCCTTCGATCCGTAACGAGTGATTTTTTTTTCTTATAATTTTGATTCATAATAAGTGTCATTTTAATTTAACATTATCAAGAATGAATTAACTTTGGGTTTTTAAATTTATCCTTATTTACAAATTTCAATGTGTCAAATTAACAATATGTAAATTTTAATTAAGGGTAATTTTGTCAAGATACTTATTTTTTTCTAGGAGTTAATATTTTCTTAAGGGGTGTGTCAAATACCAAAAAGTTACTTATTGTGAACCGGAGGAAGTAGATCCATGAATATAACTAAGAAATGCGTTTAACTTGTAATGAACTCAATGAATGGTGATGTTTGGGTGGGGGGTGGGGTGAGGGGATTGGTCCTTTCCTTGTCAACTAAATTGGTTATATCAGGGGTTTACGTAAGTTCATTAGTACGTAAAGAACCACATCTACAACGATATGGCTGGTCAGATTTTTGCACGGCTTCCATTGAAGGCTCGCGAATGGGAAGCACAAACAAAGTTTGGTAGTAGTATATTTTATGGATTCGAAGATTTTTTTTTTAGTTTTCCACCCGGTGTTCGGTATCTGCATTGGAGCCCGACTATATCCGGATTCGCGTCGCGTAGGGCCCCTTTCGGAGGGAAGCGCTCCCTACCAAGGATTTTTTCATACCCAGGGCTCGAACTCGAGACCTCTGGTTAAGGGAGTAACAATCCCATCCACTGCACCACATCCTTTGGTGGTGGATTCGAAGATATATACACTAAAAGTGTAATAAATTTTACATCAGCTGGTTAAATGCCATTTATTATAGGTTATCAACTAATATTATTAATTTGAGTTATCTGTAATTATTTCTACTTTAAAACTTTATGAATAAATATTTTTTTACAATGTCAGTGCATGAAACTTAAACTTTTATTTGTTTAGTATATTTCTAGCTATTGTTAACAATACACAACATATGTAGTAACGACAATAAGGGCCAAACTTATCTATTTCGAATATTGTCTACATTTAACCTCTGTTATATTATCCGGCAAAATTTATTCCTACCGTTATACTATCTGGTCAAATTTATCCCTACCGTTATACTATCTGGCCAAATTTATCCCTATCATCAGCAAGCATTTAAAAATTGCCCCTTGATCTGTTAAGTAATCCAAAGTCTCCCAAATTCTTTTTATTTAAATCACTTGTTGTTCTTCTTGCTCCATTATTTTCAGAAATTACTATTGACGTGAATGCCAAATTTACTAGACTATACAAATTATTCATAAAAAGTTTTTTAATTACCAATGCACTCACTTCTCTTCTTGTAATATTGGGTTTGGAATTAGTTTAAACTTTTATTTAATTTTCAATCATATACACACCGTAGTATTCAGTTGGTCTATTTATTGTGTATTATATGCAGCTGATCATCATGTATGTACATGTATATCAAATATATTTTGTTATTGCCAACTTAAGAGTGCACAATGCGTAGGTATTTAATTAAAGCAAAGTTGAATTCGACAATGTAAAGTCTCCGAGGAACTTCAACTTCAATCACTAATACTTGCAAAGTCTCCATACATTTGGTGCAACGAATGTTGGTAATACTGTGTTCAAAATCAGAAAAGTAAACAAACGTTAGTTCAATAAACAAAATGTAAAATAATTCCGAGCCCACTGAATGCACAGTGTGTCCTTAAGGAATTTAATCCCCTCACTGTTGCCCAAGGTATACGGATTAATTCCTCCCAGGATAGAACGGAATAACTATTCTGTGATAGCGGCACTTCAAATCACAGAACTTCAGCGAACTTAACAAACGAAGCAAATCACACTTGACACTTATGTTTATTTAGAAAATAATGCAACAATGTAGAAAAGAGGGGAGAAGATTTCAGATTTTACATGTCTGATTTCATGTCTAAAAAATGAGGCCAAGCCTCTAAATTTATAGACAAAGGAAGGGTGATATGGAGAGGTGCAATCTAAAAGGTGCCTCTTCCATTTTCCATTCACACCCCTTAATAAAAATGCAACAATCCCCCACATGAATGGGGAATGGTCATATGAGGAAAAACATGCATGAAAATACCGTGTGATTCACAAATAAGGATTAATCGTATCTGGATAAGTAGGTTTTCCTTTGAACTTTCCGTAGTGAACTTATGTCGGATATACTCGGTCAATCGGTAGATTTGATATCTTTGAACCGTCGAACTTTGGTGTATACCTAGACAACCATGAGTCACACAATTAACCCTTAACCGTCTTTGGTTCTCACGGTTGTGTTCGTTTCAGCCATGAACACCGCCTGGTTTCATGAGTGCTTAGAGAATGGGCCTTTACTTTCATTCCCCTTAAAGCGGCTTATACTTAACACTCACATAGGTGATTTCTAATCGTGTAATCCNAGATTATTGACTACACTTAATGTAGTAATAGTTTATTATAACAACAGCTGGAATGATTGGCATCAGTTGTGGCCACAACCTTTTAATATAAAACACATTTCGCAATCACTCCGCCATTTTCAAGCATTTGTATGCTATTCATTCATACGTCTATATGATATGCAAATTATAGCACCTTCATTCATGAAACAAATCCAACTTGCAATAGATTTTGATCATGTTCATCGGTTGGTTCACCTCATTATAGATCAACGTATTAATACATTTGTTCATTAACGATCATGTCCATAAAAAAACGTACAAACGTATCTTTCTATGAAAAGTCACAACTTTCAAAGTGACATCATTTCATAAAAGAACAAAACAATATAAATTTCAATAAAGAAAATGATCTTTCGAGAAAGGCACGTGACCAACTTCCGAATTAGTAGTTTCATCAACTAGTCTTTATTAAGACTAAGCAGTTGATGAATTTACCAACTACCATATCAATGAGGTTCAAAAATTATATCATTTAGACATTACGTCTAACATTGGCTTTTGTCATGCATAAGCTAAAAGCCTCCACATTTTAAATATTTCATCAACATATCATATATAATCAAATAATGACTATATGATTTGAAGTATTCTTAACGTAAACACATGTGTTTACACTTATTAATTTTTGAAATCATTTGACAATATTATTTGGTCAAATCTCGCATGTCCTTGTTTGGGTGCTTGTCTTAGTCTGTAAAGTGACTTAACAAGTCGACACACTTTTTTTTCTTTTCCAGGAACCACGAACCCTTCAGGTTGTTCCATGTAAATTTCTTCCTCCAAATCTCCATTTAAGAAGGTTTTCTTTAAGTTCATCTGATGGATTTCAAGGCCATACACGGCGGCTAACGCTATTAACACCCGAGTAGATGTAATCCTCGTTACCAGCGAGTATGTATCAAAATAATCAAGACCTTCTCGTTGTCTAAATTATTTGAAAATTAATCTTACTTTATATTTTTCAATAGTACCATCAACTTTCATTTCCTTTATGAAAATCCACGTAGAACGCAAAGGTTTATTTCCTGGAGGAAGATCAACCAATTCCCAAGTATGATTACTTAATATGGATTCTATCTCACTATTGACTGCCTCTTCCAATATTGTGCTTCCGAGGAAGACAATATTTCTTTAAACTTTTGAGGCTCATTTTCCAACAAGAATGTCAGAAAATCGGTCCAAAGGAAGTAGTTATCCTTTGACGTTTACTACATCTTAGAATTTTCTAATTCAACGTACTTTCCTTTGCTTCTTCCCGATTTCGCTTAGATATTTCACTAGACGACACACATTCCTTTTTATACGGATAAATATTCTCAAAGAACTCAAAATTATCTGATTCGATAACCGTATTAATATGATTGTCGGGATTTTTTTTTAAATTTATGAATCAGAAAATGATATGCCTTACTATTTGTTGCATATCTTATGAAAACGGAATCAACGATGTTCGATCCGATTTTTATCCTTTTGGGTTTGAGAACTTACACTTTTCCCAAATACCCCCCACACTTGAAAATATTTCAAGTGGGGTTTTCTTCTTTTCTATTTTTTTTTTTATATGGAATGGAATGTGTCTTGCTATGGGGAACTTGACTGAGTATACAGTTATTTGGAAAAATAACTTCCCCCCCACAAGTTCTGGGGTAAACCAGAACTTATCAACAAGGCATTCATCGTCTCCTTTGACATTCTATTCTTTCTTTCCGCAATTCCATTAGATTGTGGTGACTAAGGGGCGATCGTTTGGTGAATAATTTCATATTCCAAACATATTTCTTGAAAAGGAGATTCACGTTCACCACCCTTATTACGTTATAGAGCCAACCACAAGAATTGTTGTTTGTGTCACGACATAGCCAAAATTAATAAATGGTGAAGTTTTTAATCTTCAAACCAATCTGACACATTCAGAATTAATAAACGGTAAAGTTTTTAATCTTCAAACCGAGTAACATCTGATACAACTAGATCAAATAAACGGTAAAGTTTTTAATCTTCAAACCGAATAATATGTGACACAATCAAATTTAATAAACGATGAAGTTTTTAATCTTCTAACCGAATAATAAATTAGAGTAGAAAATCACTAAGATTTTAATCTCCAAAATGAGTATAAAGTCACTTAGACTTTAATTTCCGACAAATGAATAGAAAGTCACAAAGACTTTAATCTCAACAATCGAGTAAAAAATCACGCAGATTTTGATCTCGAAGCAGGAGAAAAAAAATCACGAAGATTTTAGTCTCCAAAACCAGAGGTATAAA